GTCCCACCCATCCCCGCCCTGTGCCCCTCGCTCTTCGCTTGAGTAAGGCCCCCCCTGCCCTCTCTCCTCCCGCCAACGGCTGCGAACGGAACTCGAGAGGAGCTCGGAACAGCTTCCTTGTGCCAGCAAAAAACTAGGGTCACCTTCTCCCCGAAACCACATATTTACCTACCGCTTGCCTTTTCCTACTGGATCGCTGAATCCTTCCGGTCGGAAAAGCCCCTCGGGATCAGCGAGTCCAACCCTCAGCCCAACTCTACAAAGTTCTCCCCTACCCCACATCCCCCACAGCTCATCCAAACGGCCCATAAACACCCCCAGGGATGGGGACAAAGAATGGTGAAAAAAGTGCAGACCTGCAAAATTTCTTTTTTTAAAAATAATTTTCAAAATCTGTCACTAGGAGATGCTTCCAAATACAAAGAGAACTAATTCACCCCCATTTCCCTCAACAAAACATGACACATTTCTGGGAAGAAAGGAACCCCGAGATACTGCAGCTGTTCCTCTGCAGGACACGAAAGCTCAGAGGGGGTGACCCGGCTCCCCAGTCTCTGCTCCCAGCACAGCAACTTCGGGCTCCCTGACCCCGGCTGCTGAGGAGCAAGACAGCTCTGGGGGAAGGTCCGATAGCTCTGGGGAAGGTCTGACAGCTCCCAGATGCTCTTCGCCCGGCACCCAGCAGAGTCCTGCCCGTCTCTTCTCGGGCTGGCTGTGCCACAGGAGGGACGCCTGGAAGAGGCAAAAGGCCAAGCTCAGACAAGCCCACAGCACCAGGACCATCCGCAGCTCCACGGCTCCGGCTGCACCTTCTACCTCCAGCACTGACCAACACCGTGTCCTTGTGCAGCAGGGAGTAGCAGGTTCCCAGAATCCCCTTAGCCCAGCTCAAATGATCAACAATTCCAGTTTCTACTGGTTACACAAGGCAGTGAAGAACTGCTCTGTTAGAGTCTAGCTTAAAAACTTGACAGCTACCACACGAGAAGGGAGCAAACCCTCATTTTCCCTAAATTTAGAGTGTTTCACAAATGAGCAGAGTGTAACTTCATGAGGACTGCTGAGGCCCTGACAATCCTCAAACTCTACCATTTCCTGGCAACATGGGGTGGTGCCTGCTGGGCTGTTTGATGGGACAGACCCCGCTGCTCCCACCCCTGGTAGGTTTGCAGTGCGGTGCAGCCACAGCACCTCTGGCACATTGCCCTCTGCCTGCACTGGAGAGTGGGAGACGCCAGCTCTGGGAGCAGTGCTTGGTGCTTTGCTGTTTTGGGGGAAACAGCTCAGGGCAGAGGCTTTCCTCTGTTCTCAAAGTGATGCGTGCTTTGCTAAGGGCCATTTCCCCACGGGAATGCCACCCCCAACCTCAGGCTAGGAATATGAAAATATTCTCTTGGCATGTGAACTCAAATAACAGAAGCAATTCATTGAGGAGGTTTGTGGCTTATGGAACATGCTATATTTAAATTACAATACCAAGGCCTGTCAATATAAAGCCAAACCAGATGAAGAGGAGGACCCTAATCTGCTAAGCATTGAGAGCAGACTAGATGTGAAACCCAGACAGCCAGCTCCAAAAGGGGAACGCGCAGCGCTGGATGCAAAGCCAGCAGTGCACAAGGACAGTAAAATGTCAAAGGGACTTCACAGCAAGCAATATGCATAGGCTAGAGAATACCACCACTGAAGAAAGGGACAGATCTGACCTTCTCTCTGAAGTAAGGGCACCTCTGTGAAACTGGGCTTAGAAGCCTGAAAAGCCCTCCCATGCTTTGGTAGCCCAGAGTTATGAGTGGGAGAAGTGGCCATCTGCTGCTAAGAGCATCTCCCAGGAAGCAGGAGATGAAGTCCCAGTTGTGCTGTTTCCCAGA